GAGACGAGAGAGAGAGAGAGAGAGAGAGAGAGAGAGAGAGAGAGAGAGAGAGAGAGAGAGAGAGAGAGAGAGAGAGACGAGAGAGACGAGAGAGAGAGAGAGAGAGAGAGAGAGAGAGAGAGAGGGGAGTGATCTGTTCTTCACAAGCATCAAGGAAAGAACAACCAGGTCATGCAACAAGTATACGGCCCAAAAATAAAATTTGAAAGGGAATTGATGATGCATTGATATCCATGGCATTTCACGAGACAACATAAACAAGAGAGAAAAACTACTCCTCGCAATTTAGGCATTAGATAGGAGAGAAAAACTACTCATGACAATTTAGGTATAGATAGGGGATCTTCCCCATGATTATACGTTTATCGATATGAAAAAGGAAATAAAAGGTACATTTTCACTTATTATTGCTCTCATCATTGGAAAATAAAGTAAAAATCCCAGCTCCTCCAGACTCTTCATCCTACCTAGAGAGAGACCACCCTACAGCTTAGAAAGAGAGACACCACCCTGCAGCTACCATTCATTACTTCTCAAGAGAAGAGAGAGAGAGAGCACCTTGCTGCTAAAACTCTCTAGAGAGAGAGAGCACCTTGCGGCTAAAAATCTCTAGAGAGAGAGAGCACCTTGCGGCTAAAAATCTCTAGAGATATAGAGAGAGCTACCATTCTTTATTTCTCAAGAGAAGAGACAGAGCACCTTGAGAGAGAGAGCAGCTAAAACTCTGTTTAGAGAAAGAGAACACCCCACAGCTAAAACTTTCTAGAGAGAGTTACCTGATTTTTGAGAGAGAAAGAGAGGGGGAAGCAGCTCACACCCCCTCTCACCTCTCTACGAGAGCACCCCTTTCTCTCTCTAAGCTTCAAACGCATCTCCAAAACAAAGAAAGCCACCACCTAGCACTCTTTCTTCAGCTCTCCAATAGGGCCTCTCCTCCCCCACTTCAAATGCTTCTTCAAATAGAAGTTTAGAAAGAGAAACAACAGGGCCCCATTCATAACTGAATTAAAACCCCAAGCTCCAATCCCATTGCACCCCTCTTTCCCCAAATGGAGAACCAAAACCCCCAAATGGGCAGCTAAATTACACCCAGAAATCACCATCTGCAAATTCACCACCACACCTAACCAGCTCTCTCCTAATCCAAAACTCCTCCAAAAAAGGAACCCATAAACCAGAACATACACAAAAGTGTTACTGAGTATTGAAATCACTTGCAGAGATTGGGAGAACTCTAACCAGAGGAAACACATGAAAATTGGCATTGTTCTATGGAGAAGGTGAGAGAAAGTAAGGGGTTTTCTCCTAAGAATCAAGATGGGGGTCCTCAAAAGATGGAGAAATAGAGATAGAAAGTAGAGATGGGACCAGAAGAAGATCCTACCCGATGGCTTGGTCCCTAAGGGAAAGCAGAGGAGCCACTGGAATGGGGTCTTCGACCTTCGCCAGAACCATCTCGTGTCACGAATCTCGGCGAAGGCCGAGAATAGGAGGCCGGAGAAGATGAAGGCGGAGAGTAGAGATAGAGACAGAGAGTGGATTGCTGGGATTGGGCCGAGGGGTATGGGGCGATGGAACTTCCAGAGGAGGAGGTTGAGAGTTAGAGAGAGAAAGAGATGGGCGGCAATTGTGGAGAAGAGGAAGGACCAGGTCGAGAACCAGCAGTGACTCGGGTTCCATCGGAAGTTTACGATGGATGGGTGCTCTGTTAACCAATACATTACGAAGCTAAGGATTGAAGACGCCATTGATTTCGAATCCCCGGCCAAAGCCGGCCAAATTTGCAGACAATCCTTGATTAGATGGTTTTGGGATTTTGGGTTTTCTATTTCTCTGCTAATATCTTATTCTCAATTTTTGGTGGATTTCTGGTGATCGAATTACTTTTCTGGCGATAACAGGTGGTTTGCGCGACAATCTGGCTAACCACTAGTTGTTCATCTCAGTTTTCCGGCATTGACTGGTCTTCTCCGGCCAGAACCAATGCTTTTCAGGCACGAAACCAAGATAGATTTTCAAGCTTTGGGTTAACGCGTTTACCTTCACAAAACCACCAAACTGGTTTTCCAGTAAAAATACCGGCTATCCTCTGAATTCCCCAGCACCAAATTCTGTTACTCTCGTTTTCAGGTCAAGAAAGCGATTACCCAGAACCGGTTTCTTGTTTCCTTGGCTATTGCAATTTTCCGGCGAAAATCCCGTGCTTCTCGCCGAATACGGTGGACTCCTGGCGAGTTTTCCGGCCAAAATAAGTTAGTTTCTCCTGCCTTCGGTAATTGCAATTTATAGGTCTCGCTCTATTTGGCCTTCAAATGGGGTTTGGAGTTTGTGGTCTGAAAGGACAATATACACGTGTGAAGCGTGGCATATTGTTATTCGTTGTTATTAATAATCGACGTTGATTTCCGTGTTCGAACGGCAGAGATTGCACGTGGTGTTCGTTCGGGGAAATCACCTAAATGCACTTCGGTTTGAGGTAAATAGCAAGGGGAAACCCCAAACGTCGAAAATGTTTTCTTTGCCTGGTTCAAACTCCAAAATACTAGGGGAAAATATGTGTATATCATATTAGGAATAATAATTTTAGTAAAAAAAATATTTGGACTAGTAGATGCTTTGCATATTCGGTTTTTGAAACACCAAAATCATTAAAATTTAATATGTAATTTTTTTTTTTTTTAAATGTTAAAAGTTCATATGTGTAATAACGGAACATATTAGGTATTTTTATAATAATAAAAAATAAAATTGATATTTGTATAATTTTCCCCTAATAAGTATTTTGATAAATTTCCCGAGACAATAAGTCAAGTATTATTGATTAACTTAGGGAGACTTTGCATCAAAGATAGATATAGAAACAAATAAAGTAGGGATGAGATAGGGAAAGAGATGTCCTTTGGCTGCATGGCAATGATGTACGCGTGTTGTGCCTCTTTGAGTGAATGACTTGGATAAGTTTAATTTTTGCTTGTATTGAGATGAGAGTTCTAATAGAATTATGATTTAAGTTTTAGAAAAGTCTTCCCAACGCCTATAAGTGAAAACGTGGACTGTAGCTGAAAATGAGCAGTGATTTTGCTTACTCTCATCACCGTCTAAAATTTATCGTACACTCACAATTGTCCAGTAGTGTTTCATTTTTTTTTTTTCTATAAATCATAATGATCTGAAATTTGGAGTGTGTGTACATCTTAGTGAGATGCACTTAATAAAAAAATAAAAAAAATTGTGAAAGAAAAATTGACCAAAATACCCTTGAAACTTTTCAAGTGTATTATGGTCAATTTATTTCATGTAAAATATTATTTTTGATATTTTTTTTATAGATTCGCCTATTTTTTATGAACATACGCTCCAAATTTCAGATCATTTCGATTTATAGAAAAAACATGAAAATTGAAGCACTACCAGACAATCGTGACAATGCGATGAACTTTGGACGAAGATGAGGGTAGGCAAAATCATTGTT